AATTCTTGATATTAGATTACAGTTTGTACAAATATTCTTTCAAATTATTTCCAAATCTTTTATGGAATATTCTGGGGTTTCCCCTCCAAATTTATGGGCTTTGTAAATATTATCCAGAACTTGGATGTCTGAACAGGCCTCCAATGGAGTCCATTCTTCTTGGTTATATTGTTTTGTTTTTCATAAAATAGAATTTTGGGATTTTACATTTGACAGTATCACTAAACCGCACAACCATATACTGTTTATTATTTATATGTTCATGAAGTGAAATATATAACATAATAAACTTAAAAGTTGTCTTCTTTATGAAAATTAAAGCTCCACAGGTATGAGAAGTCTATGTTCAAATATCTTTAAATCTTGTTCAGTTTGGACACATCTCACCATGAGGCTATCTATTCAGAGAGAAGCTGTTTTTGTCAGTGCTTCTATTTTGACTTTCAAAAATGCAAGTAGGGTGAGAAGAATAAATAGTTGCCATTTATTCTCCTTTGGGATCAGATTAGCTGAGAGCTGCTTAGGTACTTGGCAATACAGAGGATGTGCCTTTTGTATAAACACAGATTTCAGAATCTCCATAGATGTACTCTGGTCAGAGAGATTTTGGTGGCCAGAGAAAACACATGGTCTTGGTTTCTCATGAAAAGGCACTGGCCAAGCATGTTGGGGATAAGAATGTAAACAATCAAACAGATTACTTAGCTGTGGTAACCAGAAATACATGTTAAAAGACTTACTTGATGCTTGGAACCCATGGTATAAAAAGGCAACGCTAACTGGAAAATGCTTCAGGAAAGGTCCATGGTCACTGGCGCATACAATGACACTGTGTGCTTTTCTTTAGTGTAGGTACAATGACAATGTGTGCTTCTCTTCAGTGTGTTCCCCTTGAACCTCATCAATAATTTATAGTCCCCTTCTTCTGTCTCCAGTGTCAGTTCAACCCTGTCAGAGCTTCGTCATCTGGTGTTGGCTTTCAGGTAGTTGTGGGAAGGGTAGCATGCCTGACTTAGGTCTCTACAATGCCTTGTTTATTATTCTTTCCCATCTAGTGGTGTTGGGAGCCAGAGAAATGGTAAACAGACCAAGCAAGGAGTTCCAGTTCTTCCTTTTTCTCTCCTGCTCCTCCTTTTATTCTCCTCCTCCATCCTTCTCCTCTCCTTCTCCCCTCATCTTCTCTCTGCTTCTCTTCTTTTTCTCCTCTTCTTTCTTTCTCTCCCTCCTTCTAACCTACTTTCTTCATCCTCGTTTTCTTCCCATTCACCTTCCTATGACTCCAACTCCTTCTTCTCTTTCCTTTTTGTCTTTTCAGGGTGGCTGTGTTGGACACAAATAAGCACCTCTTCTGCAAGGTATTGACAGTAGTTCCTTTTATGGAAAAGGGCTTCTGAAACTTGGGGACAGAGAAGGAGCCAATGCCTACATCTCTTCTTTGTTGATTTTCCTTGATTTCAATTCAAATAGCCATGTGCCCTGTCCCTAGTTTTCACTAAGAAAAAAAAAAAGAGTTCCTTTTTCACAAATGCTTAACCTATGAGCTTTATAGATATAGAAAATGCTCTAGAGACCAGAATGAAGGCTATATTTTGCCAGCAACCAACACTTACTAGCTAGCGGTTTAGGGAACTGCTTATAGATAATGTTACTTAAAAGTTCAAGCAAAGGATTTGGAATTAGGTTTTGGAATCTAAAATGTTGTGGGACAACAGCTTTACCCTGTAATAATTTGTTTCTTGTACTTGATTAGTAAAATGCTGATTGTCCAGTAACCAGGCAGAAAGTATAGATGGGGAGATTAGGAAGAAGAAGAGGAGGGGCAATGGGAACAGGAGAATTGTGGAAAGAGGAAAGATGCAGTCTGCAGTCATCACCCAGACACAGAAAAGGCAAGGTGAGAATGCCTTGGTAAAAAAGGAACCAAGTCACATGGCTAACATGGAAAAGAATTATGGGCTAATTTAAAATGCAAGAAAGAATTGATTATTATGAAGCCTGAACTACTAGGTCAACAGGTTTATAATTAATGTAGACTTCTGTGTGTTAAATTGGGACTAATGGCTGAGGGTTCAGGTGGGACAGAAACCTCTTCTGTCTATCAGAAGAATGACACCAATGTGGACAGCTAAATCCACTTAAAACTTGAGAGAGCTTGGGAAGTAATTGTAGAAACAAAAAGAACAGAGTTAAGCATGGCTACTTGGTAACATTTCCTCAGGTGGGCTCTGTTTCCTAGAATCAAGTGTACCTCATTTAAGAGAGGCTTCCTGACTCAGTTTGAGAAGCAAAAACCTTGCAACTCTTTTAAGAGGCCCCACCACCAAACACTTAAATGGTGTTTATGAGTAGCCAATAGCATGTGTTGGACTAGAAGTCCAAACATCAGGAAGGAGTTGCTCCAGACACCACTCTCATAACCACAATTGATGCAAAAGCAAGAGGATTTTTATTCTGTCATGACAGGGCCCTTCAGGTTCGGGATATGAAGGACATCCGATAGCTGTTACAGTCCATCTTTTAAAGCAAAAAACCACAGACACAAGGGGGGAAGCTGTAGGTTGTTTTCCAACTTATTCGATTGGCTTATTTAAAAGGTCACTAGCAGTGATTGGTCTATTCCAGGGCAGGAGAATAGCTGCGTGGTCAGGTGAGATAAAGGGAGAGCATCTGTGGCCTTCCTAACCTTGTTCCAGTGACTAAATCAAACATCAGGAACTGAGTCAACACTGTGGGTTGTCTTTGCCTTAATTCCCAGAATGGAGTTATGTTTGAAGATTATTCACAAGGACACAGGAGGATGAACAGTCCAGCATGTGTGTGTGTGGGTGGGGGGGGGCGACTGTCCTGTTCCCAAGAGAGAGTGGGTGTAAGGTTTTAGAAAAATGTCTTAGGGTTGAGGGGGCTTACAAATGCATTTGGAGTCTTTCACATGCTTCTTGGTGGTGGCAGGGACGTTATGAAAGACCCGGATAAATCCAGACCCCTCTAGCAGAAAAAATAGAGCCAAAAATCTAACAGAAAAAATAGAGCCCAAAATCTAAGTGGGGAGGGAAGAATCAAAAATCTAGATTAGCCGGTTCAGTGACTCTGTTTTAGGAACTAGCTGAAGATAAAGTTAGATTATAATCTTGAGAAATAGGAAGTTACCCCCTTGTGAATATCACTGGTATTTTCAGAGTTTTTCAATGATCACTGGTGTTTTCAGAATTTTATGGTTTCTTTCCTTAAATACTCCTTCTCCCAGATACTCGGGGTCGAACTCTCTACCCGAGTGGGAAATGAGTTTCGGCCCTAGTGTACTGGTTACTGTCCTGTCGATAAACCTCGTGTGATTGCTACGAAGACGGTCTCTCGTGAGTTCCTGAGGGGTCATGTTATTCTGAGACTTGAGTGAGAGTCTTCCCCGCTCTGGAGGTCTTTCAGGTGAAACTCCATGGAGTTGCAACAGGAAACATGTCTCCAGCCACAGCTTTAATCTAAGCCATATTTCTTTTTCTTTTTTTGTTGGATCTTCAAGAACACACACACACACACACACCCACACACACACTCACACACACACACATTCTCATTTATTTCTTTTTAATAAAGCTTCATTGGTAGGACTTTTTTAATCAATTAACTTATTTATTTAAAATTTCCACCTTCTCCCATCCTCCCATTTCACTCCCCTTCCCCCCATTCCCACTCCCCCTCACTCTCCAATCCTAAGAGAAGTCAGGGTGCCTTGCCTTGTGGGAAGTCCAAGCCCCCACCCCCTCCATCCTAGGAAGGTATGCATCCAAACAGACTAGGCTCCCAAAAAGCCAGTACATGCAGTAGAATCAAAATCCAGTGTCATTATCATTGGCTTCTCAGTCTGCCCTCATTGTCAGCCACATTCAGAGAGTCCGGTTTGATCACATGTCTAAGCCAAAATTCTTAGCAGAATAAAGACTCATGTGGTTAGCAAAAGAGAGATATACAGTAAAGATACATTCAGATGAAGAAAACATCTAAATGATTCACAGTGTGATTAAAATTTATTTAGTCTTGGGAGAGAAGAGGAAAAGGACAAAGTCCTTAAAATAAAAATAAAGAAAGATAGTAGTTGGATATGGTGTCACACGCTAGTCCCAGGACTAGGGAGGCAGAGGCAGGCAGAACTCTGTGAGTTCAAGGTGTGGTGGCTCAAACCTTTAATCCCAACAGCTGAGAGCCTGAGGCAGGCAGATCTCCTTGAGTTCAAGGTCTGGCATCACATGCCTTTAATCCCAGCACTAGGGAGGCAGAGGCTGGCTGATCTTGAGTTCAAGGTTGATGGCACACACCTTTAATCCCAACACCTGAGAGGAGGAGGCAGAAAGATCTAATAAACTAAAAGCAATAAAAATGAAAGAAAATAAAAGAAACCATGGGGTGCTGTGGGACAATGGTCTTTATCCTCTCAATTGTATTTTAATAAAACGCTGGTTGGCCAGTAGCCAGGCAGGAAGAATAGCCAGGGAGACCAGAACAGGAGAATTCTGGGAAGAGGAAAAGGTCAATCTGTAGTTGCAATCTGGACTCAGAGGAAGCCAGACACAGTGCAAACAAGATGTGACTACCTCGCCAAAAAAACTACTCAGACATATGGCTAACATAACATAACATATATTATATGCTAATATAAGTTATAAGAGTTAATAAGAAGCTTGTGCTCCTAGGCCAACCAGTTTAAGATTAATGTCAACCTCTGTGTATTTCTTTGGGATTTAAGGACTGTGGGAATGGGCAGGACAGAATCCCCAGCCAACAATGGGAGGAAGTGGGCGTGGCCTTAAGAGACTATATAAGGACACTCCTGGGCCCAGCCTAGCCCATTCTTTACCAGAGCAGGCGGAGTGTGTTTTCACACGTTCTGGATCCAGAGACTGCTGGATTTATCACCTCCGAACATTGAAGTTTGAACCAGAGAGCAGAGCTAATACTGTGGTGTCTCTCGTAAACACTGCTGAGGCTAGAGACAATTCCTTGGAGAAATGGAGTCAGGCCTCTCACAAGCCTTCCAGGAAGAGCTCACCTGCCCGATCTGCCGGAGCTGCCTTACAGACCCAGTCACCATAAGCTGTGGCCACAGCTTCTGTCGAGCCTGCCTCCACCTTTCCTGGGAAGACAGTCCTGCCCATTGCCCTATGTGTAGGGAACCATCCCAGCAGAAGGACTTCAAAACGAGCATTGTTCTGAAGAAGCTGGCGTCCATCGTCAGACAAGCTAGCCTCATGAAGTACCTGATCTCCGAGGAGAATAAGTGTGTGATCCACAAGGAGACCAAGGGGATCTTCTGTATGGAGAACAGCATCTACCTCTGTCGACTCTGCTCTGACTCCCATGAGCACAGAGGTCACAAACACTGTCCCACTGAAGCAGCTGCTGAGGGTCAAATGGAGAGACTTCTGAAGCAAATGGAATCATTGTGGGAGAAGATCCAAGAAAATGAAGAGAATCTGGAGGCAGAGATAGTGATGATAAGTCTGTGGGAGACCTGCTTGATTGAAAGAGAAGAAGCAATAAGGGCAAAGTACAGGGCATCTTACCCAGACCTCACTGAACAGGAAGAAGAGCATATTGAGTGTTTGAGAAAAGAAGGCAATTATTATTTAGAGAAACTCCGGAAAAGTAAAGCCACGATTGTTGAAACGAGCAAACAACTAAGAGAAATGTATCAGGAGCTGATGGTGATGTCCCAGGAGCCATATGTGATACTGCTGCAGGATTTTGATGACATATTCAGAAGGAGCGAGTCAATACAACTGAGCAAGCCCCTGGCCATGATACCAGAACTCGGTGGCCTAGCCGTCCATGGACTAATTTAATTCCATGAAAAACCATGGCTGCTCCTTAACAGCATTTGGGAAAGAAAGCCAGCGGATACTTCACATTAGTTTTTCTTGCTCTCAGATGAAGCAAATCAAAGTATCAATAAGGCGAGACAATTTCCATGAACTTTTGTGGCTCTTAGATTCTCAAGAACCTAACTTTATGATATATGGGAATGGTATTTCCACATTTTTAGAATTTCTTTTTCTACTACTCAGCGGTAAAAAATAGTGACATTTTGAATTTTGCATGCAAACGGATGGAAATAGAAAACACTATCCTGAGTGAGATAACCCAGACCCCAAAAGAGGAATATGGTATGTACTCACTCATTAGTGGACTCTAGTCATAAACAAAGGACATTAACCTATAGTTCACAAGCCTTGAGAAGCCAAATAACAAGGTGAAGCCAAAGAAAAACATATAGATCCTCCTGGAAATTGGAAGCAAACAAATTGCTGGGCAAAAGTCGGGAACATAGGGGTGGGGGAAGGGGAGAGGGGAGAGAGAAGGGAGAAAGACTGGAGAGAGCTTGGGGGAGTGGGAGGGTAGAGATGGAGGAAGGGCGGATATAGGAGCAGGGAAGAAGATATCTACATTAAGGGAGCCATTTTAGGGTTGGCAAGATACTTGGCTCTAGAGGGGGTGCCAGGTGTCCACGGGGGTGTCCCCAGCTAGGTCCTTGGGCAGCAGAGTAGAGGGTGCCTGAACTGGCCTTGCCCCACCACCACACTGATCATTATCTTGAATGTCACCATAGAATCTTCCTCCGGTGACGGATGGAGATAGAGACAGAGACCCTCATCAGAGCAATGGACTGAGCTCCCAAAGTCCAGTTGAAGAGCAGAAGGAAGGAGATGAGCGAAGAAGTCTGGACCGAGAGGGGTTGGTCCACTCACTGAGACAGTGTGTCTGTTCTAAAGGGAGCTCAACATTCAAGTTTCTTAACCAGAAACACTCTTTTCAATGCATGTGCATACAGATTTTCAGTTGGTCGAATATCCTATATATTAAATAAAAAACAATTTATATTAATGAGAGGTTAATGAAATGTTAATGTTAATGTTCAGTTGGTTTAATATCCCACCTATTAATAAAAAGCAACACATGTTAATGAGAGCAGTTACAACTCGGTACTTTCATGTTTTGTTCTCATACAAAAAACCAAGTTGTATGGATAATGGTCAGGAAGAACCTAAACAAGGGAGATTTGATTCAGAGGGTGGAGAGTATTGTGGGAAAATGGTTTTACCCTGTAAAGATTTGTTTCTTGTACTTGTTTAATTAAATGCTGATTGGCCAGTAGTCAGGCAGTAATTAAAGGCAAGGCGACCAGACAGGAAGTAGAGGTAAGGTCATGAGAACAAGAGAATAACGGGAAGAGGAAAAGTGTAGTCTGAAGTCATCACCCAGACACAGAGGAATGCCTCACTAAAAATACGTACCAAGTCACGTAACTAACATACACGAGAATTATGGGCTAATTTAAGACGTAAGAAAGAATTACTTAATAAGAAGTCTGAGCTACCTGTACAACCAGTTTACAATTAATGTCGACCTCTGTGTGTTTCTTTGGGACCGAATGGCTGAGGGATCAGGTGGGACAGAAACCTCTGTCAACAGAATGACTTCAATGTGGACAGCTAAACTCACTTAAAACCTGAGAGAGCTTGGGAAGTAATTGTAGAAACAAAAAGAACAGAGTTAAGCATGGCTACTTGGTAGCATTTCCTCAGGTGGGCTCTGTTTCCTAGAGTCAAGGGCACCTCATTTAAGAGAGGCTTCCTGACTCAGCTTTAGAAGCAAAAACCTTGCAACTCTTTTAAGAGGCCCTCCCACTATGCTGGAGAGATGGCTCAGAGGATAAGAGCACTGACTGCTTTTCCAGATGTCCTGAGTTCATTTCCCACCAACCACATGATGGCTCATAACCATCAGTAATGAGATCTGGGACCCTCTTTTGGCCTGAAGGCAAACATGCAGGAAGAACCCTGTATACATAATTAATAAATAAGTCTTTTTTTTTTTTTCAATTGGTGCTTCTTGGTGGTGGCAGGGACTTTGAAACTCCACAGTGTTGCCACAATAAACATGGCTCCAGTCACGGCATTAATCTACGCTGTATTGCTTAGCAAAATAAAGACTCATGTTGTTAGCAAAAGAGAAATATATAGTAAAGATAGATTCAGATGAAAAAAACCTCTAAATGGTTTTACAGTGTGTTTAAAACATATGTAAGCTTGGGAGAGAAGAGGTAAAAGGATAAAGTCCTTAAAATAAAAAGAAAGAAAGAGACTAGGTAAATGTGGTGGCCCACAACTTTAGTCCCAACACCAGGGAGGCAGAGGCGGGCAAATCTCTGTGAGTTCAAGGTGTGGTGGCACACACCTTTAATACCAAGAGCTGAGAGGGAGAGGCAGGCAGATCTAATAAACTAAAAAAAAAAAATAAAGAAAATAGAAGAAATAAAATAAAGAAACCATGGGAAAATGGTTTACCTTGTAAATATTTTTTTTCTTTTACTTGTGTAATAAAATGCTGATTGACCAGTAGCCATGCAGGAAGTATAGGTGGGGTGACCAGTAGGAAGTAGGCAGGGCAATGGGTATAGGAGAATTCTGGGAAGAGTAAAGATGCAGTCTGTGGTCATTACCTGGACCCAGAGGAAGCAAAATGAAAATGCCTTTCTAAAAAATATTCCAAGCCATGTGTCTGACACAGAGAAGAATTACGTGCTATTTTAAGATGTAGGAAAGAATTAATTAATAAGAAGCCTGAGCTACTAGGTCAACCAGTTTGTAATTAATGTAGACTTCTGTGTATTTCATTGGTACTGAACGGCTGAGTGATCAGGCAGAATGGGAACCTCGGTCAACACTAACATATTTATTATACTCTTAAATGGGTTATCAATAGATTACAAACAAAACACTTAAGAAAGCATCTAACTTGAGCCATGTATATGAAATTTGCAAAAGTGGATTCTCCATTTTAGCTACTCTCTCTTTCTACCCTCTCAAATTTCTCTTATTAAATTTATTTTCACAACTGGAGAAATGAGCAATTTTTCTATTCTGTTAAAACATATAAAAGATGATAAAGTGAAAAAGAGTTAATCATATGGAAGAATTTGTGGATGGATATTCGGTTTAGAAATAAATTATTTCAACATGTGAGGTTTTTACTTGGCTGGCAAACACAATCCATTGGGTATATCACAAGTATAGAACCAGAGGTGGTAGGCTTAAGTTTCTTGGGTTAGTAAAACTTAAGCTGGGAATTCTGATAATATTGCATTTTCTAAACAGTTGGGTGGTTTGGGGCAGAATATTTACCTGTAAGCATACATACAGATAAAAAATTGTTGAACATAATAATAAGCAAATAGAACAATTATTAATTTCTGTAATTTGTGGGATATAGTTTATTTGATTATGTGTATTCTAATGTTTCAAATTACTTATGAGGCTAAAAGAATTGGGTCATATCCCTGATTTTGATAGTAAAAGTAATCCGATTTTAGGAAAACTTATTTAGATTTATGGAGAGAGTTTACTAATGGTTAAACTTGCAGCTTATATTCAGTCACACTTGAACTTTCTATTTCTATAATTCACCCAGTAGAAGAGAGCTGGCTCTACCTAGATCACACATGCCTTTTGCTTCCTAAGGAGAATCTGCTAGAAATAGAGTTATACGTGGGAATGCTTTGAAGCAATCGTGACCCTGTGTTTCTACACAGACCAATTGTTGCTCCTTAAGCGACAAGGTGAATTATGCTGGATTTTATGATTTAGATATGAAGTGTTTTCCAAAACTGAGTTACAAACTTGGCTGTTCGGCGATGGTACTGTTGGGGTGTGTGGAACCCCGAGGAAACAAAACCCCAGAGAAGGAAGATGTTGGGATCCTCGCCCTTGCCTCTCTTGCTCTATTTTCTTGATTCTCAACTGCCTGCCGTGGATTGGTCAGGATTTTCTCTACCACTCAGGTCTCCTGGGTGACCTGTAACCATGGCACAGGTTCCACAACAACACAACCAACTGATCCTGGGCTTCAACCTCTGGAACCGAAGAATTCTTCCTTTTTACTGATTTCCTCAAGTACGCTGCCATGAGAGCAGCACACTTTTATAGAAAAAATAATGTCTACCTCTACCATGGGTAATGCATGCTTTCTGTGTGATTCTGAGTTAAGTAATATTTTTTAGCCTGCCTTGGTGGCAAATGTCTATAATCCCCACATTTGAGAAGGAATTCAAAGTCATACTTGTCTTTATAGAGAGTTGGAGGCCAGTCTGGGATACACTGAGTCCCTGTCTCAGTAAATAAATGAAAAGAAATATTTTTGTTCTTGTGTACACTACAAATTAATCTAGTTTTAAGGATCGAATGGGTTTAGACGACTACTAACAAAACAAAATTAAAAAAAGTTTTAATCAAGTACCAAAGAAGAAAATGGTTAAACCTGGAGATGGAATCACAGGCTTTGGACAGTCTGAAGGAAGGTTTGAATTCCCTTACCCAGGACTAGACCGGCTGGCATCTGCTCATGCCTATGAGTCTCAAGAGGTTCAGCAATGCAGTAACTCAGAGGACGTTCTCTTTCTGATTTTCTAGTAACTTTATTGTCTGTGCGATGGAGAAGGAGAGCGAGAAGGAGGGAGGAGAGAGAGAGAGAGAGAGAGAGAGAGAGAGAGAGAGAGAGAAGCCCTAAAATTTAGCCACTAAAGCAAGAGTGTTGTGGCATTGACAGCACAAAACTAACAGCGAATTTTCAAGCTGTTGCTCTTCGATGATGTAAATTTTCATTTAGGTTCATTTGGCCCAAATTCATGTGGAAATCCCTGCTGCTTCAGAACACATCAGGTTGTGTTCAGCTGTACTGATTGCAGCTTCTTGAGGCAGAGAGCCTGAATGTAAATTAAGTTGTGGATCACCCCCACAGTGTTGAGCACTGTGTAAGGTGATGATGAGTGTTCAACAGGTGCCGTGCT